ACAAATATCATATTTTATAAAAGACAACTTTGGGTATACAACCTTGGGATTTATTCAGGCAAACAAGCAAAAGGTTTTTGTTACCCTTGGGTGGAAGGAACTGCTGGGCGTGGTGTTCAGGAAGTGACCTCTTGTTTACTAAAACATATTGCCGAACAGGTACCTGATTATGTCGCGCCTATATACTCCCGAAGATTATTTTGAAATAATGAAAACTTCTCGCATAAACAATTCTTTTTCCGTTACTCCAATGGAAAAACAATATTTTTTTGAAATCGCAGTAAAAATAGAAAAGCAAATAACCAACCGAAAGAAAGGAGTAAATGGGGAAAATATAAGTTAGCTAAACAGAAGGGGGATAAAAATAGTTAAAGAAGCACCATTCTCAATTTACATGAAAGGTTGATATATCCAAAAGTACCCGTGGTCGTGCAGGCAACCCCTTTACTCAGTCCGAACTGAATGCCCTCTGGCCTAATGGAAAACCAATTGCCGAAGAAAAACTAAGGGTTCAAATCGATAAAGCATTTAATACCTTAAGATTATCTAGATTTTTATTCTGGTCTTTACGCAGATAGTACTGTTGAAGACGATCTGGACGGATTTGGAGGTGTTTCGGACTTTGAAACAGACAATTAGATAATACTACCCATAATGTTAGCATGTAGCATTTTTTCAATTTTGTTTCGAATTATTTTTTTTTGTTGGTTTTATCTTTTATTGAAAACGCAATATGCAAAAAATCCCAAAAAAAAAGTTTTTGAATGCAAGAGTAAAAAATACTTAAACTGTCAAAAACCCCAAGCAATGAAGTGCAAGAAAGTGCAATCAGAACTTTTAATTTTTTTAAACTGATTTTATTGTGTTGCAAAAACTTTAAACCTCATTTTCTCGAAACTACCTTGTTGTCGCTTGGTTTCTTTTTGCATAACAATGTCCAAATAATAATTGTATTTTTTGTGTAATCACCGAAGTCACTAGACTCAACGCCACCTGAGTTTTCCTCAAGTCAGCTCTTTATAAAATTCAACCTGCGTCACTTGGAGAATTACTGGAAAGAATTAATCAAGCATGTCGCGCTATTACTAGAACAACATTTGTCAAAGGTTTGTGCAGAATTTGTCTGCATTATTGTTAACAAAATAACCGAACCTACTTTGAACATTTACTTCATTGACAAATTTGTAGTTCAACTGAAACTTCTTTATAAGGAAAGGTTTCACAATTATTGATTCTATTATTATTTGTACTATTGCATAGCATTTTTAATAGGCTTTTAAATAATGTATCACAAATAGGGGTTTGCTATTTAAACTGTTTTTAGTTAGGGCAGGTGGGGCCTAGGGAGTTGATGGGGGTGTCTCTTTTATGTCATTTTAGTTAACCATTTCTCTCATAAAAACGGTTGGATGTTTCTAAATTGTCACACTGTATATCAAACTTGAAATTATAATTTATATGGACATTAAAAGTTTCAAAAACAAATTAGTTTTATGATGGTAAAATAAAAAATATACTCACTGGGGATCTAGATTGACAACAACCAAAGGGTAAAGAACTATTAGAATCAAGCCATCAACACAAGTGTCTCAAAGTGTTAACTGGAAAGCCTTAATACTGGCCCACAGATTCGAACAAAATTCCCGAACTCATAGATTTTTTTTATAATCAAGAATATCGTCTTGTATTCATATAGAAAAAATATTGGACATGGACTCGCATCATTCTCCAATACTACAATAAAAGAAAATAATTTACCTAACTAGTCAACAAGGGTACAGACTTGAAAAGCTTCAAAATCAACCTAGAATAACTTATTGATCTCTCGATTTCATTAAGAACTGAGGAACAATTATTAGAGCAAGAACTTTTTGTTAAAAATATTAAACAAGCAGCTTGGGAAAACATACCTAAGATTAAATGCAGAGTGCAAAATAATAATTATCCAAAAAACATCAAAAATCTTCTCAGAACAAAGTAAAATTAGTGTAAAGGAATACTTAGGTACTTTAAAACCTTTTATTTAATAGTTCTGATAAATTAATAAAAGATTCTTAATATGGTGAGCTTTGTCTTCGTTCATGCTTTACCGAATGGCGCTTTCTTCTTCTATTTGTTCTTATCTGTCTTTTGATGGTCTTCACCTGAATGAGCCGCAAGCAAAAGACACCAACACTTTCAGCCCTTACATGAAAATTAGAAGAAAATGGCAACAGTCTAGAGCACCGGAAAAAAATACAACTTTAAACAATTTATCACAACTAATCGACCTTCATATTAAACTGACATTAAACCTACTCCTAATTTCTAAGCCGACATGGGTGAAAAAAATGGTCGGTGCGCATGACAATTTGGACGCCAGACTGTCAATTTCGAGCGTTCTACGTCACGTTTTCTACGGGCGTACGATAAGTTATATTATTTTTTTATTAATAACGTGGTGAGGTTTCCTTTTAGTGCGTTTCAATACGCACCTGTGGGCGCCAGCGCGTCAAATATCACCTCGCTATGTGGCTTGATTTTGTTGACCGGCTTTGCTGTTCGTTTATATATAGTTCAGTTAATCAGCTCTTGCCAGACGGTTGTAGCTACTGTCACTTCGTCCGAGATAATACCAAATTACTTCCCCTGCAAAAGAAAAATAAAAAAAAAACAGAAGTATGTATAAATTAAAATCAGTTGTCATTATCGATATCTTGCTGGAACAATTTTCTGAGTGGTGGATTTCTTCTTAGTTCCACTGCCGTTACTAGTTCATAGACTTTTATTGGAGTGTTTATTTGTTCCTATATTTGTGAGTGTTTTTGGACCTGTAACTCGTTTATTGACAACCTCGGCTACATCACTATATGGTTCGGAATCTTGTAACATGTGGGACCCAGTACTAATAGGATTTGATATGAAAGAATGTGCGGTTGAAGCTGGTCAGTATGTTTGCGTTTTAAACCATTTTTTGTTTTGACTATATAATAATATGAATATGGTGCTGTCTATTTTGCGATCTCTCCAACTGTATAACCTTTTTTGCTGGATTGTTCATACGAGATCATTTTTAGCGAAAAATTTTGGATTTGTTCTTTGATCGTGGTTTTTGATTTGATTTAACTTTTCCTTTTCTATATTCCTTTGAATATCGGATTTCAATTGATAAAAAAAACCCTCTTGAAGTTCTGCCCAGCGTCAATTCACTCGGTGTTCTTCCTGTATACCTTTGAAATGCATTTCTATGAGATTCGTAGAAATTTATCGGGTTCATTTATGATGTTCATTCTCGCTTTAAATGTTTTTACCATATGGTGTCACTCGGATGTGTGTGATGCCCTTCTTCTTGCAGAAGTGTGTAAACTCGTCTGACGTTAATTGAGGTCCATTGTCGAAAACAATAAATTTCGGAAGACCGAAACATGAAAATATTTCTTATAAGTGCTTTTATAGTGTTGGTTGACGTAGTGGAGGCAAAAGGAACTACCTCTAACCATCTAGTGTACTACAATCAATCACATTGTTAATTGAAATTGCCCTGCAAATTTAATGTGTATTCTTGACCAAGTTTCTGCTGGCGCGGCCCATGGAAATAACGGAACCTTCTGTTCGTTCTGCGTGATTCTTGACATGGTGTGCACTGCTTGACAAACTCTTTGCGATATGGTTATCTATTTGAGGCTAATATGCATCCTGGCACATGATTTCTTGGTAGTAGTTCCAGAATGCCCGTCATGTAATATATGCATCACATAGTACAGTGGGAACACAAATTCGTCCATTCCAGAGGATAATTAATTTCGTCTCGTCTAAGTTCTTCTGAAATATATTTTTTTCTGGCCAGCCTTGCCGGATGTATTTTAAAGCCTTGAAAACGGGATAAGATGTTACTTTGGCTTTTAGATCGTTTTTATTAACTGGTATAGGCGCATGTGTAATAAGTGTGCTCTTTTAGGCAAACCCACCTCTTCTAAAATACACTGCAGGCCCCGACAATGCCCCGGCTGACTCAGTATTCCGATTATTATTAATGAAAACGATAAGAAGAAGCTCCGTGGGTTATTCTTCTCGGTCGTCCTCTATACCCGTCACGTCACGTCACTCTCTTGTCCTGCTTGTCAGGACTCGCGTATCGGGGACAACACTAATCATTTGTAATTGCTGTGGCGGGAGGTGTTTGTGTAAATGCGTCTTGTTTGTTTTTATTTACGCCGTGACTAGCAGTAGTATTTTATCATCCTTAGAAGCAAATTTCACATAGATGAAAAAATAATAATAATAATAATAATAATAATAATGCCGTGACAACAAGAAGACGAAGCAACGACATCTCTAGACGGCCTGGACACAGCTCACCTACTCTGTCAAAAAGAGACGCACTACAAATGATTAGTGTTGTCCCCGATACGCGAGTCTTGTCAGGTCAGCTCTTGCCAAATGGTTGTGGCTACTGGCACTTCCTCTGAGATAATACCACAGTCTACAGCACCAGAGCATAAAACAACTTTAAACAATGCAACACAACAGCTTAAACGTGAAATACAAATCAGTCGATTGGCGAATACTTAAATAAGTTAACTAACGATTAAAGTACAGATTATTATCTCTAGAACAATTACAAAGGTCAACTATACCTAACCCACCAATCAGAGACAGAGATGGAAGCTGGACCCGAAACAATTTGCAAAAAGCAAACAGATTTGCGGAAGATTTACAGAGTACCTTCCAACCCAGTAATAGTGAAGATCTATAAGACTGTATGGTACTAGCACAAGAAGACGATTCGTTAAACCTACTTCTCCAAAGAAAGTTTATATGGCAATCCAAACAAATATAAATCCAAAAACAGCTCCTAGATTTGACCTCATTACAGGCAAATTTTGAAAATAGTTCCACGTTAAAATGACCAATCTCATTAATGTGTTCCTTAGACTAAAAGTATGTACCAAAGATGTGAAAGGTGGCAAAAGTTATAACGATACCTAAGCCGATTAATCAAGCCCTAGTCCTAACAGCGACCACTAAAGCCCTGCAGACGACATATTTTTATTTGGTATTCTTACAAGCTTTACTGTCAAATATTAGGTAATTATGGGGCAGCATTTTTTCCAATTTCTTCAATATCAAAAACTAATTTTAGGGGCTAATCTAGACCCGATATTTACGAGGGTACCTTTTAGACAAGCGAAAACTTTCAGGAATACTCCCCTAACTTAAAGAGGGGTCCAGGGATGCTTCCCCGGAAACTTTTAACTTTACTTTGTGTCGCCAACGTAAGGTACCGTATACATTCCAAATAAAAACAGACCACTCTGTATACATTAGATATACAAAATGTTTCAACAAAAACTTAAAACTATTTCTTCTTTAAAGTAAAATTTTTGTTAAAACATTTTATATATAGATAATTGACTTTTTGTTCTAAACTGTATATGTATTTCTATTTATATGAACACGTATGAGGTTTTTTTTTATAATATATAGATCTTTCTATACATTCAATAAAGAAGAGTGTTCTTTATTGAATTTTTAATTATTAATGTTGCAGATTTATTTTTTAAAATTAGGCAATTATTGAAAGGAATGTAATGCAAATTATTGTGTATATCGATACTTTGTTGTAGACTCACATTCGATCCATTAAATCTGTCATTATCCCAAAAACATAAATAATAATCCAATAATTTTTTTAGTCCTAAATAATTAGTGACCTGCACTATCTAGAAAGGTATAAAAATGTTTATTTCTAATTTTTTACCCATAGATATCATGAGAAATATCAGTCAACTTTTAAAATCCCCCTTTTAAAAAACAAAATGTGATACTTAAAACAGTAGGTAGAAGAATTAAAAATTTCTCTAAACTTCAGTACTATGCGTCTGAATCCTAACTTTTTTTTGACTACCATTCCTGGTCATCGTCGGCGACGTTCCTGAGAATCCAGGGTTCTGGATACCTAATCCTCCATCTTTAGGTTTTGGTTTTTTAAGGCTCGACCTTAAAGGCGATCGCGTGATAGACGAGCCTATCGTAGATCCGTTTGTGGATCCTAACGTTGTGGAAGTGGTTTGCATGGAAGCCATACTGCCATTAGAGGCATAAGGTTTGCCACTGGCGTCTGTCATGGATACACCGCCACCTGCAATATTTAAATAATCATCAAATAAAACTTGTATTTCATACAAAAAACAAAATTATTAAAATAACCATTAAGTTATCGTCAGTGCTTAATGTCAAGAAAAAGACATCCACTAATTTCGGTTGTAATGTAATAATTTTCGATTTATGTTAGATTTGGAAATACGTGTTATATTTTTGGAAAAACGGAAGATCTAACAACAACGTACATGGGTGATTTCACCAAAAGGGGACAAATCAGTGTCTTTGTGCATTATTTATTCACCAGGAATTACTGAAGAGTATATGACAATTCTGAACAATTAATACTAATCTGTAATATTAATCCTATATTTAAAAAAGAAACCAAAAACGAAATGTGAAGTATTTTTTAACCTTGATATAATCATCTCCATGTCCTGTCCCTGATTGAAGTTGAACATGTTTCTTGCTTTTTTAATGTATTTTGAACATTCAGTAAGTGTTTTACAGTTGTAAATTTAAAAACAAATGTTCATTAAATTATTTGATTATTTGTTCAAAAAAATGATATTTTTACTAATAAAGGAAAAAGGACTGTCCCTAAGAATTACATAAACTCCATGGACACGTCTCAACTTAGTATTTCTCGAATGAAATTCGCTTGTGGTGGGGAGTCTATCCTTTGAATATTCATGTTAAAATCTTCCAAGTAGTAGAAGGTGATACTGTTGTTTTTTACGGGCATAAAGGACGCTAACCATTCATTAGAAGGTGAGTATAGTTTTATTTAATCAACTCCATGGTTCAATTTTTTACAGGAATTATAATTAATGTTAAATTACTGAATTCAATTTTCTATTATACATGTTGTACACCTCTCATGCCCAATTCGAGATCTTCCTTAAATACCTCTTAGTCGACAAATTTGCGTTTTTTACATAAAAAAGTCACCTCCATGGACATCAAATCAATGTACTTTACTGGACCATGGAGTTGACTGTTAAGCATGATGTTGATACACTTTTTGATTTCGGATCCAAAATGGGAAAAACTAACAAAGATATTGAAAAAAGAAGGAAGCAAAAGAGAGAAGCTGAGAGAAAGAGAAGAGAGCAAATTAAAAATAATCCTGAGGGATACGAAAAGGCGAAAGCATCAGAAAGGTAAAGATACCACCGGAGAAAAAATGCAGGGAAAATAAAAACCATCAGCGAGGAATCAAACAGAAAGAAACGCATAATTAGAAAAAGATGGAGAACAGCCAGTCCATTTTTGAACGAGCCAAACTTTAATCAGACTCCGAATTAGACTCCGAGAAGTTCAAGAAATTCTGGAAGAAAGTTAGCCCGAAAAAATAAAGCTAAAATGTAGAGAGATATTCAAAAATTGAAGTTAAAGCTACAAAAAACTAAAAATTAATTAGAAAAGTATTAGAAACGATTTTATAGACAAAAGTTAAAAAAAATCTGATGGGGAAAAATTCCAAGAGTTCAGTCCTAAATCGAAAGTTCGGGAGAGCTTTAAAGGTTATAATGTCCCTCAACACATTGAGAGAAAATTGCTGTTTTCAGAAGCATTAACAGCACAAATTTCAAAAAATCTTGAAAATATTAAATTTATACAACGTCGAAAATCATTCGGAAAATTAGTTTCTAAAGAAATACTGAAGAAATACCGACTTCTTGGAAGAATGAAAAACTTTGCTTCTTACAAAATGCTTAAAAAATCGAATGATAAAATTTCATCTAGGAAAAGACTTTTTAAGGACTGGAAGACAGCTATTCATGATTTTTATCTAAGAGATGAATGCACTCGAGTTGCGGCAGGCAAAGGTCACACTGTTACTTTCAGGTCAGTTAAGAAGCAAAAGAGATATTTTATTTTCTCCATGAAAGAATTACATCAAAATTTTATCATGACCCATGTCGTCCTTTCTGGGTTTTGATGCCTAAAACCAGCTTCAGAGAGACCTGTCTCTGTATCAAACATGAAAATGTTAGACTGCTGTTCACAAAAATGAAACTTTTGAAGTTCTTTATAATTATTACAGTCAACCCGAGGAGTTAATCAAAAGTTTATGTTGCGAAAATAAAATGGAAGAGAGTTGTTTAGAAAAAAGATGCGACAACTGTAAGCAAAAAAAAGTTACTTGGAACGAAATTAACAAAAAGAAATCTGCTGTTTATAAAAAATGGATACTAGTTAATGAAGAAATAATTGTTAAAGGCATTAAAAAGACATGCAAAAAGTACATAAAGAAAGACGTTATTTGTAACAAAGAAAAAATGATGGAAGCTCTTCAGCATGATCTTGCAAAGTATATGCAACACATTGCAAACATAAGACATCAATATCAGTTTATCGACACCTTAAAAGATTCATTAGAAAAACAAGATGTTTTCGTGCATATGGATTTTTCTGAAAACTACCAGTGCAAATACATTAGAAAGATACAAAGTGCGCATTTTGGTGGAGCTACACCACAAATATCACTGATACTGTAGTTTGGTATTACAAATCAGAAAATGGAGAAATAAAAAGAAACTCCTTCTGCAGTTTATCTGAGAATACCCGTCATGATCACATTGGAATTTTTGCTCATCTTCAACCTTTATTTCAACAAATTTCAGAAAAGTTGATAATCATTAATAAGGTGCATTTTCTCAGTGACGGGCCGACGACCCAATATCGGAACAAAAACATGTTTTTTTGTTTTTGCTTCCAAATTCGTAGATATATTGAAACCTTCAATCATGACTTGGAACTTTTCTGAAGCAGGTTATGGAAAGGGAGCTCCAGACGGTATTGGTGGAGTGATAAAACGTAATGCTGATCGATTAGTGGCTTTAGGAGAAGATATTCCTGATCTTAAATGTCTAGTTGAGCAAGTATCAAATCGTTGCTCCGGACTCTTTTCAAAAAATTGAGAGCGAATGCTCAGTTCCAAATGATCTCAAAGCTTTCAAAGGAACTATGTCCATTCATCAAATAACTTGGAATTCAAATTAATCTAATACCGTATTATTCAGAAGACTTAGCTGCTTGCATTGTACGAGCTTAGAAATCTGTTCTCACTACCACTTAGGTAAAATGGTTGTGCCTATCAGATCCGAAAGAATCAGATACAGCGAAGTATATATATTTCCAGCTCTGATGAAGGTTCTTCTTTCACTGATGAAAAGCAAGATTTTAAAAGTCCTACTGTTAGTGATGAGATTCAAGATGATAAAATAGTCTAGGAAACGCACGACTTTGTTGTCATAAAATATGGATCTTTCTTTTTTCCAGGTCAAATAAGAGAAATTCGAGACTCAGGTGCAGTGGTTAGTTGTATAGAAAAATATGGACGCCTGTGCACTTCTTGGAAATGGCCTATATACGAAGACTGTATGTGGTACAAATTTAGTGATATTGTTAAAAATATTGACCCTCCTAATCTTAAAACTAGAAATATTTATTCAGTTCCATCCATAGCTGAATATATTGACTGAAAACTGACAATGATGTTAGATGTGACCGAAATAAGGTCTAGATTATTAATTTAAGTTTTTTTAAAACAATTTTTTATTTTGTTTTTGATACTTTTATAATAAAATATTTTGAAATAATCTTTTTTTAAGCTGTCATCAACTCCGTGGACACCAAATCATTACCATGGTCTTAATTTTTTTAAAAATGTGCTTTAAAATAAGAAACGAGCACAATGTTTTGTTACATGTTTAGAGTAAAAAAATGTTAATCCAATGTAATTCTAAGATGACAAGCGTCCTGCCGGTTTTCGCTTGCAAATTGTCCCCTTTTGGTGGAATTACCCACATACCACTTGAAGATCGTTTGTATTACAGAATCCCAAACAACGAAATTTCGTATATATCGTAAAATTGTTTCCGAAATAATTGGACCATTTAGCTTCACTCAGTATATTATTTGAAAAATGTTAAAGTTCTGGTACCATTTAATATAGTTTTAATCAAAATAAAGACTGTTTAGTTCGGGGAGTATCTAACAAACAAACAAACAAACAAACAAACAAACAAACAAACAAACAAACAAACAAACAAACAAACAAACAAACAAACAAACAAACAATCAAACAAACAAACAAACAAACAAACAAACAAACAAACAAACAAACAAACAAACAAACAAACAAACAAACAAACAAACAAACAAACAAACAAACAAACAAACAAACAAACAAACAAACAAACAAACAAACAAACAAACAAACAAACAAACAAACAAACAAACAAACAAACAAACAAACAAACAAACAAACAAACAAACAAACAAACAAACAAACAAACAAACAAACAAACAAACAAACAAACAAACAAACAAACAAACAAACAAACAAACAAACAAACAAACAAACAAACAAACAAACAAACAAACAAACAAACAAACAAACAAACAAACAAACAAACAAACAAACAAACAAACAAACAAACAAACAAACAAACAAACAAACAAACAATAATGTGCACAATATTATTACTATTTAATATTTACCGTTTGTCCTCGTTTCCCTAAACCCTGGATTTCCATAAGTGGTAGCTTCTACAGGTACAGATACAGTAGTCGGATCGCCCCCTTCCCGTCTGGCGAAGAACATGTCATATAAAGCCATCACAAACAATGCAGCATTGAGAATTATTAACAACACCTAAAATAAAAAATACAGTGCTTATTTTTTCGTGTTAGACATACGAGAAGTATACAAGTTAATAAAATGGCAACAGAGCACCAGCCAATCGTCGACTAGAATTAGAAGATATGGTGATGGGATATTAGCCGAATCGAATGTGAGGCACAAAGCTAGAGAGCATAGTGATAGAGCGAACATGTGGCGCTGTAAAAGCACGACTACATGTTCTTTCGCTCGTCCCTCTGGTGTAGGAATGAACTACACCAACGGACACTAAACCTTTCGTTTGGCCCGGTGTAAAACCCACTATACCTTCCTGTTGGCGATGTGATGTCCACTGGTGGATAGTTTCTCCACCAGCTATTTAGCAGGAGTGAATTATACTCCACAGGTGTATAAGAAATAAGCAGGAAGTAAATTAGGGCAAATAAGGTGGTGTAACTGGTGTAATTTACACTGGTGGACAAAATAATAAGTACTCTATATCATAAATATAATAAAATAAACAACGACCCAGCATTGACACTTCGGTGGGAGTAAAAACACTCCTATGTAATGATTGTAACGTTCCATATTTTTTGCATTTGTGACATCTATAATAATTTTTGACCTCAGTTTTTATTGTATCATCAGTTACTAAATTATTGTAATATTAAATCTAATTTCCGAAAGTTCAAATAAGTATGATCAAAGAGACCAGAAATATATTAAATTTTTTTATACCAGTTGAGCAAATTTTGTTGTGGAGTATTAACTTTTAGTAGCGCTATTAACTTTTTGTAATAAAACTAGAGACGACGTCTAGAAATTTTCAATAAATATCAATGTCTCAGAAACAGTTTGTTTGTTCGTGCATTGATGAAGTTTTAAGCGGAAGTGAAGTTTTCCGCTAATAATGAGAAGTCGATAAAACTGATGAAAAGCCATTGTTCGAAGTACTTTGATGTGTAGCTGGAGCTAAAAAACGGCTTCCTGTCCCTCAGAACAGCGGTTCCAAAACTTTTTTCCATGCTGTGCGCTTATAGAAACAGGAACAAACTGACAAATTATTGGGTTGAAAAACAGTTATATATTAATTATCATATGAAAAATTGAAACATAATCATTATACATTTACAGACAAATGTACTCTGGGAAAAATTTTTAATTTTAAATCTTTTAAAGTGATTTTAGTTTTGCAAATAAAAATGGCTGATGCTGATGATGAGCGAGTCCTAGATATACTAAAACAATTTGGAATGGTAAAGTTGATACCTATCTTCGAAGGTTCTTAACCAGTAGTGCTTTATTAATTAATTACTAGTTTCCGTAGATACGTCTGTTGAAAAATCATACCATTTTAGTAGATTTCCTATTCATAATTTGTAGTTTTAACCATTTTTAAGCCCAAATGTGACTTTTTTATTTTAGCAGAATTTGTAAAAATAAAAGCATTTAACTTATAAGGGGAGATGGCAAACTTTTGGTCAGGTTTCTCTCTCTCACACTCAAACACGCCACATCCCAAAAAGTATTCATGCTTTTGAATATTAGGTGAATATTAACAGGAAGAATGTAAAAGTCGTGGTGGAAAAGGGCATTGTTCGAATTCAGTAACTAGAGTCACGGAAGGTACTTTTGTAAGTATTTAAATTTTACTATTTTTTAATATACTTGTATCGGTATCTTGAGTATGGAAGAAAAATTGGTAAAATTACAAGGTAGTAAATGTTATAAGTACAAAATATGAAGAGTTAAATGCTTAGTTATTATTATTTTTCGGTTATGTCTCTATATATAGTTAAAATATGTTATTTCTTTTTTTTAGTGCCATATTATCCTTAAAAAACAGTTGAATCGTGTACTACTTGCAAAATATAAAGGAACACCTATAGCAGGGAATGATCGCCATCAAATGTCCATAAAAATCATTGAAGCAGTTTCCAAAGATTCGAATCAAAATTCATGACCTACTTTCGGTTGTACTAGGAGTTCGAATAAATATGTATGGCGATTATTTTTCGATAGCAACTACTATTTTTTTTTGTTTTCCAGATTTTAGAAGATTTTTAGAAGATTGTAGAAAATTATAAAAAATCATAGAAGATTATAAAAGATTACAGAAGATTATAGAATATTCTAGAATCTTCTAAAATATTCTAGAATCTTCTAGAATATTCTATAATCTTCTGTAATCTTTTATAATCTTCTATGATTTTTTATAATTTTCTATATTCTTTTACAATCTTCTAAAAATCTTCTAAAATCTGGAAAACAATAAAAAATAGTAGTTGCTATCGAAAAATAATCGCCATACATATTTATTCGAACACCTAGTACAACCGAAAGTAGGTCATGAATTTTGATTCGTATCTTAGGAAACTGCTTCAATGATTTTTATGGACATTTGATGGCGATCATTCACTGCTATAGGTGTTTCTTTATATTTTGCAAGTAGAAAATTCTAGAAGGTTATAGATAGAAGATTACAGAAGATTATAGAATATTCTGGAATATTTTAAAATATTTTAAAAGATTTTAGAAGATTATAGAAGATTCTAAAGGTTCTAGAATATTCTAGAAGATTCTAGAAGATTCTAGAGGATTCTAGAAGATTCTAGAAGATTCTAGAAGATTCTAGAAGATTCTAGAAGATTCTAAAAGATTCTAGAATATTCTAGACGATTCTAAAAGATTCTAAAAGATTCTAAAAGATTCTAAAAGATTCTAAAAGATTCTAAAAGATTCTAAAAGATTCTAAAATATTCTAAAAGATTCTAAAAGATTCTAAAAGATTCTAAAAGATTCTAAAATATTCTAAAAGATTCTAAAAGATTCTAAAAGATTCTAAAAGATTCTAAAAGATTCTAAAAGATTCTAAAAGATTCTAAAAGATTCTAAAAGATTCTAAAAGATTCTAAAAGATTCTAAAAGATTCTAAAAGATTCTAAAAGATTCTAAAAGATTCTAAAATATTCTAAAAGATTCTAAAAGATTCTAAAAGATTCTAAAAGATTCTAAAAGATTCTAAAAGATTCTAAAAGATTCTAAAAGATTCTAAAAGATTCTAAAAGATTCTAAAAGATTCTAAAAGATTCTAAAAGATTCTAAAAGATTCTAAAAGATTCTAAAAGATTCTAAAAGATTCTAAAAGATTCTAAAAGATTCTAAAAGATTCAGAAGATTTTAGAAGATTTTAGAAGATTTTAGAAGATTTTAGAAGATTTTAGAAGATTTTAGAAGATTTTAGAAGATTTTAGAAGATTTTAGAAGATTTTAGAAGATTTTAGAAGATTTTAGAAGATTTTAGAAGATTTTAGAAGATTTTAGAAGATTTTAGAAGATTTTAAAAGATTCTAGAAGATTCTAGACGATTCTAGACGATTCTAGAAAATACTAAAATATTCTAGAAGATTACTTAAGATTCTAGAAGTTTCTAGAAGATTCTAGAAATTTCTAGAATATTCTAGAAGATACTAAAATATTCTAGAGGATTATAAAAGATTCTAGAATCTTCTACAAAATTATAGAAGATTTTAGAAGATCTCAGAAGGTTCTAGAAGGTTTCTCGAAGATTCTAGAAGATTTTAGAAGAAAGATAACAAATACATATTTCGATATTATCTAACAATGAGATATCCTATAAATCAAAATTGTTGCATGCACCTATATATTTATTTTTGTATTTTTCTAATTGTTGTTCTCTATAGTAACTTATCAGGTTTGGTACCAAGCACTTTAACTTTAGTTAATCCGCCATTGTGTTTGTACGTAACAATGAGATATCTCGTAGGTTTAAATTCTTGTATGTGTACTTAGTATTTTTTAAATATGTTTCTTTATGTATTTTTATGTATTTTTATGTATTTTTATGTATTTTTATGTATTTTTATGTATTTTTATGTATTTTTATGTATTTTTATGTATTTTTATGTATTTTTATGTATTTTTATGTATTTTTATGTATTTTTATGTATTTTTATGTATTTTTATGTATTTTTATGTATTTTTATATATTTTTATGTATTTTTATGTATTTTTATGTATTTTTATGTATTTTTATGTATTTTTATGTATTTTTATGTATTTTTATGTATTTTTATGTATTTTTATGTATTTTTATGTATTTTTATGTATTTTTATGTATTTTTATGTATTTTTATGTAGTTTTATGTATTTTTATGTAGTTTTATGTAGTTTTATGTAGTTTTATGTAGTTTTATGTAGTTTTATGTAGTTTTATGTAGTTTTATGTAGTTTTATGTAGTTTTATGTATTTTTATGTATTTTTATGTATTTTTATGTATTTTTATGTATTTTTATGTATTTTTATGTATTTTTATGTATTTTTATGTATTTTTATGTATTTTTATGTATTTTTATGTATTTTTATGTATTTTTATGTATTTTTATGTATTTTTATGTATTTTTATGTATTTTTATGTATTTTTATGTATTTTTATGTATTTTTATGTATTTTTATGTATTTTTATGTATTTTTATGTATTTTTATGTATTTTTATGTATTTTTATGTATTTTTATGTATTTTTATGTATTTTTATGTATTTTTATGTATTTTTATGTATTTTTATGTATTTTTATGTATTTTTATGTATTTTTATGTATTTTTATGTATTTTTATGTATTTTTATGTATTTTTATGTATTTTTATGTATTTTTATGTATTTTTATGTATTTTTATGTATTTTTATGTATTTTTATGTATTTTTATGTATTTTTATGTATTTTTATGTATTTTTATGTATTTTTATGTATTTTTATGTATTTTTATGTATTTTTATGTATTTTTATGTATTTTTTATGTATTTTTGTTCTTTTGTTTTTTTTGTTCTTTTATTTTTTTTTTTACACAATCTACACTAATTAAAAAAAAAGGAAACATACCAAAAATTGTTATTCAGTTTCATTAATAAAACATTGTATATGTCGGTTTCGAGTAATAAGATGAAAGTTACAGTTAAATAAATGTAAATTGCAGATTACATTTTTTATAGACTACAAGTAGCTAAGTCTATGTGTTGGTGTAGCAGGTTACAATTTTTTAAATATTTTATTTCGTATATTTGACTATAGTTCTCTTGTAATGCTAGTTACAATTATTTCTACTATGTAGATTTCAGTGATCACCCAGTGTTACTTTATACATTTAACTGTAGATTTATCTACCAGTGAAAAAAGAATTTAACTAATACATAATGGAACTTGAAAAAACTGTCAATGGAATTTGCGCACCTGTTTGGTGGAACAGAGTCTTAGATTAATTTTTTCATTTGAGTTAATTTTGTACGTTGATAATCCTTCATAAAACTTTAACGCCTTTTCTTTTATGACAGAATTTTCATTTCTTACACCTAGCCAAAAGTCAATTAAAAAGAGATATTTAAAAACAACTTTTATAGAGTAAATGGTACTAATAACACCAAAACATCATAATCATTTATTTCAGATATAATCAAATAGTTTAACTTCCTTAGCAAAGCCTCTATTGTATCGCGTACATTAAAAATGGTGACATCTGGGTCTTGTAAAGACAGATATAAATAATTTAATTCAGAATAAATGAGTGGCTCAGTACCAGAGTTGCCTAACCAACAATTTATTAAAAGTGAGTAAAAGTAATCTGCCTGGAATAGGCAACTTTGGCAAGCACGCACATTATTTCAAAATAATATAAGAAAAAAAGGTTGTTTTGAAATTTTGTTGGTTAAGCAACTCTGGCACTAACCCACTCAAATGTCTGCTAATTATGCAAGACTTTGCAACCAAAGATTATCGGATACAAGCGTGAAGAATTTAAATGGATGGTCAGGAAAAAAGTTTGAACTTGATAATATAATTTTCTAACGAAAAATAAGTAAATATATATTTTATATTAAAATCTATTTTCAATTCTAATTCAACCTCATCTAAACTTAAATAGAAAGCAATGAATGAACGGACTGAAGCAAACAAAACTCAGTAGAACTGTCAATAGCGAACATTTTCTAAGAAGTCTCAAGTCAGTAATGGAATATCTTGTTCAATATCAATATCGACATATTCGAATCAGTGTTTGCTAACCTGAATGTAAAAGGCAGGTCCTCGGGTTATTTCGAGACCATTGTGTTCTCTGTCGTCGATTTGCAGAGCGAATATTCCTGCAGCTGCGATCGCCAATAACGCTGAAACAAAAAGTAAACGTTTAGTAAATAAACTAAATAAACGGATATAAATGTAAGCAACCCTTATACATTTATACGAGGGTTGTCCTTTTAACTTAGGGGAATAAATGTAAAAGAATTCATAAATTTATTTTTATGACAACCATTTATAGAATAATTGCAGAGTGTGAACATTTTATTAACCTAAAAAACGAAAATAAACAAACTAATATATAAATTTACAGAAGTGTGTTGTAAATACAAATAAATCAGTTTCAGGTCTATACAAAAGAAAAATACCGCAAAAATATTATAGTACGTCTAAAGTTTCATCTCGCAGTCTCGAAAGTATTTTATTACATAAAAATCCTGTAGAAGAGAAACATTTCTCAGATTCCACGCTTGTGGGCTGCTGAATGGTTAACAAAAATTCAAAGGGTTCTTAAAGATTAGGTCCTCGATTTATCCCGGGATTAAATCTAATTTAATCCCGGTATTTACGAGACAGATTTTTTTCCGACATCCCGGGATTGATTTCCTTAGTAAACAGGGTATAACATGAATAAATTTACTAAAAAGTTGACGTCAGAAATTGCTGACAGAAAATAGGGACAACCGAATCTGTAAGTTAGACGGAGTTGGATCATCATATCCAGAAGATTATTTAATATTTCTCCTAAAACTGTATGGATATTGCTAAAAAAAGGATTGAAATAACTTAAAAGAAGTAACAGTCTATATTATACAGAGTATCAGTTACGAAAAATCCCAATTTGTTGTTGTAGATTACGTCGAAAACATTTTGCATACAATAAAGTGATCATAAAGGACAATAAAAAATATTTCATATTATCTTACATAGAAATAAAAAACAATGATTGTTTTTATTCGCTACGTGCGTGACTGCAGCGCCAACCAAAATATGTACTAAACGGGGAATTTTCGTGTATTGACAATATCATTTTAAATAGAATTCGTAATAAAAAAAAACGTATTGTTTAGTTTTAATAAAAGTATATTGATTTATAATACAAGTGAAAAGATTAATTTATTATTATTATTCTACAGGGTGTCCCAATGAAAAGTAGCCCGTTTCCAGAGCGCCTAATCGTAGAAACGTGCGGTTTTGGTTTAGTGACACAAAAATTGTGTATTACAACAGGGTGTTACTAATAGAGGGTATGCCACGACGCATTGAGGCAGTTATTCGCGCTCGTGGGGGAAATACCCGTTAATAATTTGTAATAATTATTAGTTTATTTGTTGTTGGATTTGTTTATAAAATTATGTATTACGCTGCTAAAACTGAATAAAAAAATTAAGCATTTTCTTTAAACCGTCACATTTCACAAACAAATTAAGATATCGGGGTAAATAAAAAACCAAAATGTTGAAAACAAATCAGTTTTCTTGATAAAGTTAATTGTGTGCAGATCTACTAGCAGAATTAACCTACAGGGTGTGTCAAAAGAAGAGGAAAAAATTGTTTTCTCTTCTCCCCTGAATATGCGGCGAGTACTAAATTACTTTTAGATGTCCTAATAATAATCTTAAAACTACAGTACGTATTTGAAAGTTAGAGCATTTTTAAATAAATTATTATTTTAAATGGATCGAATTTTAAGTCGGTGAGTGTACATTTCTCAGCTCTCCCTGGCATGCTTCGAATAAGGTGATCAATGTTATATGGAATTGAGTCCCAAGCAACTTGAACTGTAGTCTTAGGCGACGCTAATCCATTATTAGCCAGATAGTTGACCCAATCTTCTACCTATCATATCCCATACACTTTCAATTGGTAAAAGATTAGGAAATAGTCCTAAGCATTCATATTTCTTTCTAGGAATACTAACGAAGATCTCCTTCTACATGAAATTACACTACATACCATAACCTCTCGGGTGTCTCACATTCAAGACAAAATTGAATTTCCCGCCTTTCACCACGCCGTCAGCGGACTCTTCTTTGTCAATCATGAACCCATGTACAAAATAGGGGATCGTTACTGAACACATATCGATTCCATTCCTGATATCAACAGACACGGTGAAATTTCACCCTTCTTTGTCTTTGTGTCAATGGAATGATGAGGCGATCGATAAGATTGCAAGTCAAAATACCTACGATAAACTGATCGTAGAGAAAGTCGTTGTCCTGTAGTAGAGAGAGTCATTCTACTGTGTAGCTCCAACTGCTCCAAGTATTCGTAACCATATCGCACGTTTAGTCACTTTTTAAGTTGTTCATATTCATTCGTCTCTTTCACTGTCTAAAGAATATTGCGTCTCATCTGCCTTTTCTCTATCAGACCAATCGTTCGATTTCGTGGCTGTTTCCAACTGTTTTAGGTAATTGATCCATGATATCTTTCCGTCGAAAATTGGGGATTCAACACAAGCAGAGCTTACAATTCTTTTCAATTTAAGCTTTGACTCTGCCTCATGGGACTTTATTTCGGCGTCTTTGGTCTGTTCTGTATGTTTCACGTTTTAGCTTTCTGTTTTCTCAATTTTCTCTATTTTATTTTCTTTTAAACGGACGTCTTTTTTTATAAAAGACATTACATTTCTTATAGAAGAGAGAGTAAAGACTTTAATTTCCATAGAAAACGTGTTTTCTTCTAAAGCAGAAATATGAGACGAAACTTTATTTTCTAAGGAAAAAATTCGAGAAGAATCTTTATAGTAGAAATATCGTCATTAATAGAAGAAATATCAGAAAAAAATTCTATATAAAGGACACTTTACTTTCCAAATCAGAAGAACTTTCGTTTGTTATAGAAGACATTTCAGAAATAATAAAAGACGCATCATCTGGAAATAAATATGTTTCTGGATCCAAACCCATACTTTCTATTGCTTCTTTAGGTCGGTAAAATTTATTTAAACAATGTTAACATTTTTCAAGTAAATACTGCCTTGGGCTTGTCTTAATCTTATCTGCAAGAGTGTTCACTGTCGATCCCTGCAAAGGTTCAAAATTGTTTTTGTTTTTGTAAGAAACAAAATTGATAAAGCAAATTTCACATATAGGAAAATTGTACTTTCTACTGTTTAATCTTATTCACACTATCCCCATTTCCTACTAATTATAGTATCTGCGAATTTTTCATTATTCTAAGTTGATTTTTTGTAATATATAGCTTAATTTGTTTTAAATATTGAATCTAGCACGCTCGTAGGTTCAAAAAAACACATTTTAAATATCTTATACACAGACACCTAGTTTATTTCCATTACGAAGAACATTATCAACGCATGTATTACAGATATATATTTGCATTGTAGGCATACCAGCGCTCGAAGTAATGTTATCGTTTGTGGCCATTCGTTAGGGCGTCTACCATTAAGCAACACAAAAAGTCATTAGCATGACTCTAATAATAAAACAATAACACTCTTTCGACCATTGTTTGTCGTATTTTTATTAACTTATCAATTTCGTTAATTCATATGCAGGTGTTATTTATTAACACAAATTATGTGAAGAAAATCATCAATATAGGTACGTCGATGCACTTTTTTTTATAGTTACGTTTACCATTTTTTGAATTTTTAAACTAAAATGTATTTTGTATATTCAATAGATCATTTTACAAAAGAGAAAATTAAACACATCTAAAACTTATAGAAGCGACAAACTATCCAAAACACTTTAGAATTATCAACAAGAATAAAGGAACTACATGAAACGAACGTAAGACATTTATTAGTGTATATTACAACAGGCTGCTAAAGCAGCAACACCTAATAATGATCCAATGAAAACAGTGAATATTATATTACTAGAAATAAAAAAATAAGAAGCATAGAAAGCATGAACCAGGCAACACGATAAAGAAACACACCAAACAAAAGAACAATGGATAACTCAGAGCTAAGCTCAAAACAAAACTGAAAGAAATTAAAAATTAATCAATTATTGCAATTTATATCTCTAATCTATCAAGAATTGATAATTCCATTTGGAAACCTATAAAAAAATCTACGTCATACCCCATACGTCAATTTTCAAGTCCTTTAGGCCCAAGGGTAAAAAGTAACCAGTAATAAGTTGATCTTCTCGCAGAGTACTTAGAAGAGCACCTAGAAGAAATCCTAAATTGACAAATACAAGAACTACTACGACTAAAGCTCTTCACACTGAAAGAAATTAAAGACGTAGTCAACACCGTAAATGAAGGAAGGAGACAGCAGGCGTAGATCACATAATCGCAAGAATATTAAAAGAACTACCAAAAAAGATCTAATAAAACTCCTATTCTTCTACAATACAGTACTAAGAATACACTATTGACTGTGTTATTCTTATAGTAATCGGACCCTAACGGCAGCAACAACTGCGGGAACATTTGCTGATGATACTGCAACTCACAAAAATCCTATAATAGCTTCCTCTAACCTACATCACCTATATCTACTAGAAACTTGGTGAAGCAAATGGAAAAACAAAGTGAACGAATCAAAATCATCACACAAAACCTTTACTCTAAAAAAGGAATCTGATCAGTAAATATTAATCAAAATAAGAAAATAAAATTCTAGTTCTATCCCATATAAAAAATGTATTATTCAAGGCGACAGATTTCGGTTATACAGCCATTTTAAAGCCTATAAAGAGTTGACAAGTGTTAATAAAGATGACAATAACTAGTAGTTTAACGTCATACATACCTACCTATGATCTTTGGTGGTTTCTTAAGAACAAATTACATGTATAACAATTTTATGTCATTCGTAGATGCACCAACAATAATTAACTTTAGACAAAAAACTTCATAAGTGGGTATGGGATGGTTAATAGTAAAACAAAACGCAAAACAAGCGGGATATTAACTGTATAACCGCCGAATGAGCATGGATAATCCAGTGCCAGCTGTGTGAAAATAGCATGAATTTTATAAAAGAGCCAATAGCTAAGCTACTAGATTCATTTAACCACCATAAACGTTGGCCAATATGTAAGAATATCGTCCAGGAAAACGTTGAATTTGCTAGTTTGCAACAGTTTCAAAAAGGATTTGTGTTTCGTGATAGTCGGAAGTGGAGGGATATTAGTGATTCCCATATTTAACAAACTTACGGACAATTACGATAAAGCGGAATAAGAGGAAGTAAGCCTGTTAGTAGGTGGTTAAATAAAGTCCATATTGAAGATTGGAGTTATTGAAGTCTGGTACAAATGTACATTTTATAGACACCAATTGTTTAGATCTCTTATATTTAATAAAATTTTAAATATTAACCTAAATATTAATTAAATAATAATAAATATAATACTAACCTGATAGTAATCCTAGTCCTACTTTGGTAATGACAACTATACTATATTTCATGACTACTTGGTCCCTTGAATTTAACATGGCTAACTGAAGGATACTTAATATACAAAAGACTCCCAAAACTGACACCCCCAATGAAGCTATTAGGCCTGCAACCCAAACGGCAACTGAAAAAAAAAAAAAGAAAAATACGGATAATTATATGAATAAATATGTACAACTATATAGATATAACTATGTTAAATTGTAGTTAAATTGTGAAGTTTTTCTCAATTTTATTTTAGAAACTGATATACTATAAATATACCAGATTCCGAGTTATAATTTTTTTTGAGTCGTCGGTTTTAACTTTTTAAAATTGCGTTTCTTATTCTATAGATGAAAAACAACCCAGTAATTGGCCACAGTCTGTAACCAATAACTGGAATAGCATAATTTCTAGTAACATAATTGGTTTTGTAAAAGTTTTTTCGTCACAAGGAAAATAATACTAATTTGTAACTCCTTATTTCGGAAATTACACGGGCGTCAGTTTCGTTAATGGGGTTTGCTCCACAACCATTTGATATAGTTTGTAAAAGGACTTAAGTAGGTTCAGATGGAGGTATTGTCAGATTCCTAAATAGTATCAATAACGGACTTTAACGTTATTGAAGCTAAAAAGAGTTAAAATAGGTTAAGTAATCTCAATTATAAGTCAAACGAGCAAAATTAACAAATCTCTTGTATAAGAAAGCTATTTAAATGTTGAGCTGGTGCTGTCTTGCTTCTTAGGTTAGTGACTTTCGATGGAAACTGGGAAAATATAAACTGCAACAATCACGAGAGGGATAAGTAAAGTTAAGTGAACAAGAATTCACTAAAGTTTTGGTAATTACGTCCTGAGTTCGGTATGTAGACTCTTTTTACCCTTTTCACTTCATATCTAACTTCACATCATTCAATTACAATGATTTAGCATGAACTGAAGTTAGTTATGGAGTGAAATGAGTAAAAATAGTCCTTCTCCCAAACTCAACGATGAAATTTAGTAACAAATGATGTGATTACTATGACTGTCAGTATGACTTTTTGTGTTCAATTTAACACTCAAATTACAAGTGTATTAAATCTAATGTCAACATCATTTTCAAAATATTTAAAGCCGAATTTACATTCTTTGTTAAATACTACAGGATTACTTTGTTTCTGCCCGAAGAAATACAAATTCGGTAAAGACATTTTCAGTCGTCGACAATATTGACTTTTAAATAAGGAACAGATCGTGTTATAGAAGTTCCTTCATATAAAACGAAGTTTGAAATTTTGTGAATATCGAATTTACATTCACAAATCGTCCAACTTTTCAAACAAAATGAAGCCTTAAAAAACCAATTACGGCGCATGGTTTCTAGATGAAGGGTCATAGATTCTTAACTCAACAAAATTCTACACGAAAAAAAAATATCAAAAAGTTTTTTTCTTTTATTTTATGGATTAGGTGTATATGTTACGTTTAATGCCCGAAAAAAATGCTCAAAACTAATTTTGGGCAACAAATATTTCCCAAATCCGAATATTGGATGAGAACTCTAGTTATGCACATTCTAAATTGCGCAAAACTAGTATGGTATATTTTTGAATGATTAATTAATACTAGTTATGCTAGTTCTTTATGCCAAAGAAGACCCTAAGAGACACCTTTATTTCTAAATAAAGCAAAAAATTACAAATTATGATTTGATACAGTTTTCTTTGGGATGCACGATTTGATATATTTATTATAAATTACCACAACGTGTAGTGTTTCTAGACTCAATCCAATACAGGCATTTGTACCGGGGGTGCGTAATAATTCACGTTATAAACGCTGAGATTGCTATAAATTCTCACATTGCAAATAAGCGCGAACCATCTTGGTATAGCTATTGATGTGGCACACTTAAGTTTTAAACATCAACGCACCTACAGTTGATGTAAAGTTTACAAGTGAGCGGTCAGAATTGCTGGCGCGCCTGGCTACTTTTAGTTGATTTATAAATTTTCTCAAAGCGTTTGTTAAACTTGTTTTTATTTTTCACTGTTTCTCCAGATTTGTCTACTTCTTCTTGTGGCAACATCTAAAATCTAAGATATATGCTATTCAACCAACTTGCCTACAAGATTTATGTCAGCACAATATTAACAAGTGTCTTATTATAATAGCAGAAATGCTCCTTAATATCAGAAAATAATATAAGGTGAAATTGTTTCAATGCATGGAAGTTAATGGCCAACACCCAGAACTTTTATTAAACTAATTTTAATTTCAAGCGGCATTGTAAATGAGACGAATAAATTTGAAATGACATCTAATTTTATTAAAAAGAGAATTGAAAGACCTTTTAAATATAGTGTCACCTAACCCCACTTTCCTTTTAAGATTTTGTTGTACAGCACCCTGTTCAAGGGATTACAGATATCGGTTTGGAAAAGGGTGTAAAAAGCCAAAATGAGATCTCATTTCTTTGAAAAGAGAATTGAAAGACCTTTCAAATAAGGTGTCACCTAAGCCCACTTTCCTATTAAGATTTTAGGAGTGTACAGTACCCTGTTCAAGGGGTTACAGATAGGGGTTTGGAAATGAGTCCAAAGGGTGTAAAATGTCAAAATTACATCTCTTTATTAAAAAGAGAATTTGAAGACCTATCAAATAAGTTGTTACCTAACCCCACTTTCCTTTTAAGAGTTTAGGGGTGTACAGCACCCTGTTCAAGGGATTACAGATAGGGGTTTGGAAATGAGTCTAAAGGGTGTAAAATGTCAAAATTACATCTCTTTATTAAAAAGAGAATTGAAAGACCTATCAAATAAGTTGTCACCTAACCCCACTTTCCTTTTAATAGTTTAGGGGTGTACAGCACCCTGTGGAACGGATTACAGATAGGGGTTTGGAAATAAGTCTAAAGGGTGTAAAATGTCAAAATAACGTCTCATTTCATTAAAAAGAGAATTGAAAGATCTTTTAAATAAAGTGTCACCTAACGATATTTTCCTTTTAAGATTTTAGAGGTGTATAGCACCCTGTTCAAGGGATTACAGATAGGGTTTGGAAATGAGTCTAAAGCCATTTTTAAGCGAGGTTTTCCTCTTATGGGCCGAATATTCAAATAAGCAAGAAAAAAAAATAATTGTGCTGAATATAGTAAAATAGGATATATAAATAACATGCTGTGATAACATTTTCAAAATTTTATTTTTTTTTTTTTGAAAAATATGGGTACGTAGGTATTAAATATAATATTATGGTCATAACTGACTAAAGATGAAATTGCCTAAAACAGTTTCGCTGTTTAAATAAGCACAAATAAATGTGAAATTTTTCATAGTAAACTGATGTTAGGATACGGCAAATTGGATATTTACACCTTTGGCGACTTTCTATGACCATTGCAAAATGTCCAACATTATCTTTTCTTATTATCGATGGTAGAATTGGTTTTGCAGGTCCTCTTTTCTTCTTTTCTTCAAGTTGTTGCTGAATTTTGTCACCTGATGGCCTTCCTTTTTTTCTGGGACTGCCATATTTTTATTTTTTTTTACACAAAATATTGGCTATTTCTGATTTGAATGTCGGCAAATCATCCACTTAATTTTTCCTAAAAGAACGTGTCTCACAATCTTGCTTGTAGAGTAGCCAACTATTCACAACACAACACACACATCTATGAAGTGAAAGAAAAAGCGTAACTGGTATTTTTTGGATCTTATTGATATGCGATAGTATGAGATAAGACCATCCAGCAAATCTACACCACCCATGAACTTATTGTACATTGAATTAATTTCTGGACAAGTTACCATGACATGTTGCTTGGTTTTTTTTATTAAATTTTTGTATTAGTGTTTAGGATGAGCTGAAGAAAACGAAGACACTAAAGCAACTGGCTTGTTATCAAACCATTTCACAGCTCTCATTTTACATCTTTCAATATCAGCCTCTTTTTCATCAAAGCTTCCGTAACCTCTTTTCTTCATTTCTTTGTCTGATGTGAACTTAAGTACTTTGAATTTTGGAAGTCGAATAATTCCAAGATAGTAAATTCCAATTTTCTAAAGCAGAACAAATAATTTTGGGGATGAAAACCAGTTGTCAAAGAACAAATAATGATTTTGATTTTTGAGATTATTTCAGTTTTAAAACAACATTAGAACTTGCACCAATATCAGGAAAATTTAAATTTGGATCTATCCTGCCTGTGTAAATGTCAAAATCGTAGATGATTCCTTCTACATCTCATAAAACAAAAATCTTATAGCCCCACTTATGGGGCTTTTTGGGGTTGTATTGTTTTAGAGAACTTCGACCTTGGAAGGGCACTATTTGTTCATCAACACACAATTTCTGTTGTATAGGTATTTTGTTAAATTTTCTTTTCAAATTTTCAGTAAAAGATCTAATCTTATAAAGACGATCTATGTTGTTTATATCGATTTCATCATTATTATTCATATGCAGTGATGCTTTTATTTGCAAAAAGCGATTTCTGCTCATAATGTCTGCAACGAGGAATTCTGTGGAGTGTGACCAGTACATCTTAGTTCTAGGTAAGTTATATATCGACATGTACATACATATGCCAACAAACTGTTCCATCTCATTTTTTGTTACAGACAGAGGCTTATTAGGATCTCCCTTCATCAAATCTTTTTTCATCAAAAAAATTCTCAAAGTATGTACATGCTTCATCCACATCTCTGTCGTCTGGTAAACCTAACCATTCAGATTTGCTTCTAGGATCCTCAGAGAAAACAGTTTTCCAGTCTATTCTTGTTTTTTTATCTACTTCACTATCAGAGGAATTATTTTCATTACTATGATCACTAGAATCACTATGATCACTATCATCACTAGAGCTTTCATGTCCTCTACTATCTCCTACTACGAAATCTGGGTCATCACTATCATCTAAGCAGCTATCGTCACTGTCAAGGGTTGGTAAATGTGAGCGACTCATCTGAAAATGTTAAAAATACCCATAAGAACCATTGTAACATATTTGATACGATATTATATCTTAGCTTGGTAACCACTATACCATATGTGATACAAATGAAAAAATCGGAGAAATATCAAGAAAATGAATCAAATTCAATATTTTATGAAACGCACACAACTCTTTATGAGTGCTTTAGTACAACAACCAAA